CTTGTTTGGTGACCCTCTGAAACCTGCTCACAGCCACCATGGGGGGCTTGGACCCCCAATTGAGAGAGGCTGCTTTAGAAACACACTGGCACGATCTTGGCCTCTATACCTTTTGCTTCAAAGAACAGCTGGAATCAGCACTGGAACTTTTACTGTAATAGATTTAAACTTCCTCTCCTGGAAATTGAACTTGTTTTTGACTATCTCTTTTGCCAGAAAAAGCGGCAAGACTATAAGCAGAGTTGTCTCCTCTTCTACTCAGAAAACAGTTGATGTTTACCCTCCCTTTTTTTCCTTTCTTACCAAAAAACAGTTTGTGCTTGAATGTCAGTTACATAATTAAAATGAAAACCTCTGCTTTTGCTAGAGTAGAGGTTCCAACTGGCCCTTCTCCAGCTGATTAAGAAGTTAACTTGGTTAATGGTGGGAAGGAAAGAATCCAGTTTCCTTCATTACACGGCAGATCAAGCTATTTATAATTGACATCCTCACGCTCCTTCCCCTTGCAAAAGTAGCACCATGCTGGAGTCTATTGCGGATCTTAGTCTCCTGTGCAGGCGTCCCCTGCAAACTCTTCTCCTTTCAACCCTAAATGAGAATTGGCAGAGCTAAAGATGACTCATTTTGCATGTTTTTTGATGGCTAAACTTCAGCTTCCATGTTTACCATGTGGAGACTGGCAATCAACAGAGGACTCACTGCTCCTGTGAAAAATGAGACCGTTTCTTTTCTTGGTACAACAGTTCATCACTTCTATTAACTCACCATTTTGTGAGCCAGTCAGTGCTTCAGATGGGTGGTTTTAGTAGTGGTTGCATCCTACCCCATTTCTCCCTGCTTTTGGCTGAAAAAAAATGGGGAAAAGTTTAAACCATGCCATCATTTTTGGAGGGGGTGACTTCCATCTCCCCTCCCTTCTGCTTCCTGAGTTCAAGCACTAGCTCATTTCCAAGTAAGCTGTATATATGCAGTTGATCTCCTATAGGCTGTGTGGTTTGGGAATAATGTGTATATTACACATCCGGGTTCAAGGCTTTGACCATGTGAGAAGGATTTTTAGACAATTGCAAACCAGGAAAGATTAAATGTCATCTTCTCTCAAACAAGGTTGAAATTTGGACTGATAAACCGATGCATGCTTCCATGCAGGTCCCAGCCACCTTCCGACTGTTGATCAGACTAAAACAGTATCAGTAAAGAATCTGAGAAGGGTGCCATGCTGGCCTTTCAAATTCTTATGAAGCTAGAGAAAAAAATAGGGATTTTTCGCATTTCTTCTGTGGTGTGTTGGCTTCTCTGATGTTTCCTCAAACAACATGAGAAAATTAACATTCGCAAGGCTAAAGAAAATTCACCATGAATGGCTTTTGCTGGTAAATCATAGAATCATAGAATAATAGGACTGGAAGGGACCTCGAGAGGTCATCGAGTCCAGCCCCCCGCCCTCAAGGCAGGATCAAGCTCCTTCATTAAGCTTTTCAGCAATAATGTGTACATACTACTTTTTGTTTCTTAACTTCATAGCATTTTTTACTCACATCTTTAGATGTGAGCCCTTAGGAGCAGAGTATTGGGTTTTGTTTAGGTGTAGTTTATCTGTTTTAGAGCCATGTGTAAATATAGTCCAATGCCCCAGTTTTATTTTGGTATAAGGCATCTGGCATCGAGGACCAAATACTGAGACGGCTGAGCAGTTGAGATCAATGATACTGTCCAGTTATTACATGATGTTAGTGAGGATGTTGCAGTCTGGCCCTTTATTGACTTTCACGGTCTTCTGTAATGGATGTGATCCCTTAATTATGCTTTGACTTAGTGTATTTTACAGTCATGATAGAGAATCAACAATTTATATCCCGTTTCTCCTCTATTTGTGCGAGTTATGTAACCAAATTAGTGATACAATAAATAATCTGAATAGTGATTCAAAGTGTCACTAAACAATTCAGCCTATCAGCAAAATACATCATGTCACAATTTTATGAATGATTCCCCTTTTTATTGAGTTTATTGATGATTGTCCATCACATCTAATAATTTATCTCCCTTAGTACTAACCACTCTCCACTATAAGGAAGCTTTTGTGTTATAAATCTTCTCTTTTTGTTTTTGCTGGAAGCATGCATTTGGCCATATGCTCTGCTTGTACTGGCTGCCAAATTCTTGGATTTGAAGGCTTGTTAAGCTGTGTAAAATGTTGTTGTTGACTTGAATGAGAAGAAATGTAAGTGAATGATTGCACTTGTTGGTATGGCCATCTGTGTGTGGGAGCCAGGCCTCTCACCTTGACGGGAACTGTTAAAACAGACAAACTGCAGTGTCAGTGGAGTGTAAAATAATTACTTATTCTAAAATATCTGGCACCTAGATTTCCTCAGT